ATACATACGTTTAAATCTATATGCCAATAATGGATTTTAGAGATATTTAAGAAAACAACTGAATTACACACCAGTGTGTGATAACCATTATTTTTATATCTGGTTAAAGGGTATTTTTTTCAAAAAGTGCTTGCTCATAGGGGGTCGTCTGATTGTATATAAGCACCTTGAGATGAATGTTGTTGTAATTTGGTGCTATATAAATAAAATTTAATTTAATTTATTTTAAAAGCACAAGTCAAATAAAAAGAAATATCATATTCTGCTTTCTTACTTTGAAATTTAAGCAATTTTGTGGCAATGAACATGCTAACTCATTAGTACAAAAGGCTGAGTTGAGTCCTGAACCAGCACTCACGTGGCACTTGGGTACTTTGTGAGAGTGGTAAACATGGCAATTGAACTAAGTGGATGTGTCAGAGGTCAAAGTGATATTCTTTCCGCTTTTAAGGGGGCAGTGGATGGCACCCTAAGGAAGCCAGTAGATAAAGAAGCAAAACAATTAATCTACGTGTACTAAGGAAAAGAAGAGAAAATACTTCACACATAAAGAATTCGCCTCATTCACGTATTACACAAACGCCTCTATGAGGGCCCTGCTCTCATAATTTGTCATCAAATTTGTGCCATGGTAAAAGTTTTTATTTCCTTCTCCATTCTGCACTCAAAGATGGACCATTTTGTAGTTCCAGCTTGTCAGTTGTCCTAACACGCTGATCTAGTACCTCTCAGGTTAACATTATAAGCACTGACAGGTAAAGTGAATGGCTCATGGCTCCTGTTAGTGGGTGGGATATCCGGTCTTTAAGTGTTGACATATGAACCCTGCTTCCGGGTCCAAACTACTCTGCGTTTATTAAGGTTGTTGTGTTTTTAACGTATTTTAATGCTTTGTATGCTGTTCTACTTAATCTGAAGAAGCCTCTAAAAAAAAGGCTGTAATCACTGTCCGCCTCTCTCAGTTTTTATTACCACTGTTCATTCTAAAGCTCAGTTTTTAAAACCTTGTTATGTGATTACAGCCCAGCACAGGCAGCAGTATATTAATGACTAACCTGGTATTGTGGATGGATTATCTCAGTTGTTCAGTTGTTTGGTCCATTTTCAGGATTCTGTCATACAATTGTGTTTGTCCCTAACCATCGGGAACCCTCACGTTAACTTTTATCAAGTGGAAAAAAGTTTTCACTGTGGTAATGTGTTTATAGTATGCTAACCCTAGCTGTGTAGCTAGCCACCATGTAGCACACCGTTACATACCAGCTAGCCCAACTTCAGTAGCCCTACAAACGTCACTACTGTTTAGTTTTCTGTCTTCATTTATGTCAGAAGTGATAACAGAGCTGTACGTTTTAATTTTTTCAGAAATCCCTCAGTCAGAACATGGTATGTTTAGATGGAAACTAGCGAGCTAACTCCCTGCTATCTTCTTACTCTGTTTAACTTCATAAAACCTGTTTTCATGGATGCCTGAATGTTAAACTTAATTGTTACACCTGGTAGAGCAGCCATACTGATCATTTTATTATAGATGACAGAATTTATACAGTTTTTAAACTCTCAGTGATGCTGCAGTGTTCGTTTGACTTTGGACCCGGACACAGCTCAGACTTAAAGACCTTATACAGATAAAGAGTCCATTTAGTCCTTAAAGTTAATGTGTTAGAAGAAGGAAAAAGAGGCATGCGTAAGGATTTAAGCAACTTTCACAAGGACCTGTGACGGGCTCTGGGTTTTTCCTGCAGTGGATAGTATCTATCAAAAGAGGCCCACAGAAGAAACAGTGGTGAACCAGCAACAGGGTCATGGGCAGCCAAGTCTCATTCATATGTGTCGAGTGAAATCTGTTCCATGTGATCCAACAGATGAGCTATTTTAGCTCAAATTGCCAGCAAAGTTAAAGCTGGTTCTGATAGAAACATGTCAGAATCCACAGTACATCACAATTTGTTCTGTATGGGGCTGCATGGCCGCAGACCAGTCAGGGTGACCACGCTGACTAATATCCATGCCGAGAGCACCAACAGTGGCCATGTGAGCATCAGCATTGGAGAACGGAGGAATGGAAGAAGGTGATGATGAATCTTTTACATCGTGTGGAAAACCGGATACATCTGTGTCACTTACATGGGAAATACCTGGCACCAGGATGCACTATGGAAAGAAGTCAAGCTGGATGAGGCAAGGCAGGTGGTCATAATGTTATCCCCAGTTGGTATACTTTACTATTGTTCAAATACACAGTCAACAACACTGTGTTTACATTTTTAAATTCATTTTATCAAATTGTATCTGCCCTCCATTTATTGCCTTTATCTAACATGAGCAGTGATTTAAATCTCACATCCTTAAAGACATATAAATAAAAAAAAGTCTGTCAAGGACATGTAAAATCAAACAAAAATGAAAAGAACATGTTCATTAGAAATAATCGATTGATAGAATGTTAAAATCAGAATACAAAAACATAACTGAACTTAACATAACTCAACTGAATACACACTGATAGAAATGATGACAACAATGCAGACAGAAGGCTATCAGTAATGTATATGTGTTAAAAAATTACATAAAAGACATGATGAGACACATCAAGAAATAACTGAAGTGAACACTCACTGTTCTTTCTGTACAGCAGGATTTCAAAGCAGTTAGATTCATAATTGTCGAACGTCTGTCTGACTTTATCGATGGTCTTCTTGTCTGTCAGCTCTCCGTACATAAAACTGTGAAGGGAAATAAGCAATATGACAAACTGCAACAATCAATCATCAGTCTTTCATGCCTCTGTATGATATTTCATATATGTTATTAATGGTACTGTCAATGTGTTATCTCACCATCAAAACTCCATTAATTCTTATGTTTGGTTCAATAGAATAAAGTGATGCAACGGCTAAAGGATAAATTGGGCTCACAGGGATGTGAGTGCAGATTTGTTCTGGGCTGTAATCATTCCATAAAGGGAACATTTATACATTTCTCCTACTTTGTTTTCCAAGATCAAATTCCAGTTCCAGTTTGCACATCCACACACATTTGTACTTTTTAGAGTGGGCACAGATTCAGTCACTATTTTATCCATTATACTGCCACAGTGCAGGTGACCATCGACCATTTGAAAATGAAATACCAGTTTAGACTTTCACTTGATCTTTCCTTGATACACAAACAAACTCAGTGACCAGATCCTGATCAGTTCATCCTTGAGTTCAGTAAATGCTTTTATGTTTTCTTCCAGCTTTGCCAAAGAACTTAAAATGAGGATTTTATTAAATTTCAACATCTTTTGGTTAGAAATGCAGAGTATAGCCATCCATTTTTTAAAATCCAAATCAGGGATGCAGGAGCCAACAGCAGCTATCATGCAACAAGAGACAGGGTACACCCCGGACAGGTCTACCAAAGAAAGGCTAAAGCCCCACATGGAAAGACTACAGACTGGATTCAAACCTAGGACCATTACTGTAAGGCACCAGTGCTACCCACCACAGCACCATGATGTGAACACAGAAATTGGACATTTTCAGAAAACTGGGATTTGACATCTAACCCCACCCTCTAACCTCTAATGGAATGGGCCAAAGTTGAATGTCGCCTTCTAGCAATGTCACCAGTGATGTCAGACATATTATTAAGCAGAGTGGAAAATTCAACCTGGCTGAAGACAGGCATACAGAAAATTGTTCAGTGAAATGATGTGAAAAATCAAGCACAGCATTAGTTTAGGATTAGCTGTTGTCAGTGCCAGCCCACATCCTCCGCTGGCCTTTCTATCCATCCAATAAGTGAATCTGTGAATCAGTGTGGGCAGACTAAAGCTGCTTAATCTGCCCACAGTTCTTAAGTTAATTAATGTCATATCTTTCTTGTTCCGTATGGGGGTCTCCTGCTTTCACGGGCTTTGGCTTTCCACATTTGCATGTTGAATTACTGGGAAATCCAGCAATACACGTGTAGTGGTGTGGTGATCGGCCTATGGGACCAGTCTAAGACACGAGTCCTTTGTAGGTTGGCTGATAAAAATCCAAAAGCAAAACACTGCAATTTGTATAGCATAATGTTTCATCTTCAATTCGCAGCTGAAGAGGTCTACCTTCACTTTTTATGAAATTGTTTTGTTTTTTCCTTGACTTACTGCTATTAGGATTTTATGTGAAATGTCAGCACATCTGCACCACTGTTACCGATTCATACCTTTTGTACCACAGTTAAAAGACTAAAAAGAAAAAGAAATGTCTCTGGACCCCATTAACAGGCTGCTGTCTTCCATCAGTTTGGCAGCAGCCTGTAAGTTTAAGCTCTCAGTGGCCTCTTCAATCCTCTCAGTGTCACGACTGAGCGCATTGTCAGTCTCAGTGTCCTCTTCAGCCCAGAGCAGCAGGAAGCACAGGGATAAATCCGTGTCTCTGTTCTCACTCAGCTCAGTGTCCGAATGGAGTCTTTTTAGCTGCAGGCTAGTCAAGGCCGACCCCACCCCCACCCACGCCACACACACACACACACACCACCCTCCAGTCACATCTGAGAGCAGCCTGAGGAAAGGGAGTCAAATTTTAAAACATCTTGACTGACAGGCGAGCAGGGCACCGTCCTCGAGGTGGACCGGGAAGAGCTCCCCTGACAGCTCCAGACTGGATTCATTTCAGACACTCACTGAGTGGTGTGCCATCCTCTCTCTACTTCCTCTCTTTCAAAACAAGAGTTTTTCTTTTGGCTAGAGGAGGACAGAATTAGGGAGGTGCAAAACAACTGACACTTTGAAACCTTTTCTTTGTTTGTGTGTATCTTTGCAGGCTAAATAGAGAACTTTGAAAGTGACAGGGTTTGAGCTGTGAATCATGGCTAGTCTGGTGTGGTTATAAATACAATAGTGTTGAAAAAAATATATAAATATATATTGGTTTTTTATGAGTCCCACTCTCACTGAAGAATAAACCATTAAAAATGCATAAACCCGGGAGCTAAATAAGACATATGAGTCTACTAGAAATTCAGCAAAGAACTGTATGCAAATGTGAAGATGAAATTTAATGCATATATAGCTAAACTGGGATTGGATTATTGCTCCATTACCACGCTATAACTAATAATGCTGTTACACAACAATACGTGCATATTTGCAGTCTTTAAAATGAACCTATTCTTATTTCCACCTTTTTTCTTCTTGGACTCAAAGACAGTAGCTCTGCATAATTCAGAGTTCAAAATAGTTGATCTCATGCTGGACCTTGATGCACCCCTCAATCAACCCACTGTCTTAAGCTGTGTTTTAGCCAACCTTCTTCTGATTGGCTGTTCCTTCCAGACGTTAGGCTCAAACAACAAGCAGGCAGGTCGACTTTGGTCGCAGCCAATCACATACAAGTAAACTGCTCTGACTGCGGTTTACTAAGTTTTTCAGTTTATTACCTGAACTTTCAGATATTTTTAATTTGAACATCCTTCAGTGCAACAGTAAATATATGCCAGAAAACAAATAAAAACATATCAGGTCCACTTCAAATGTCTGGTAATGATACAAAATCTAATTTGACTTGTACCTGCATGTGCTGCTCTTCTGCATGACCTCGGCTCTGTGGAAGCCAGACAGCTTGCAGAATCCGTCATTACTGTAAACTATGGGCCACTCCACGATCTGGGCGTTTCCCAGGAGAAAGCTGGTCTCTGACAGACAGACAGGAAAGACAGAACATCAGCTCCAGGCAGCATCAAATATAAATAACAGATAAAAGGCTACAAAGCTTCTTAGCCTCTGAGGAGGACTGGATAAAGATGTGTTAGACTGGCCGTGTCAGTTTTAGTTTTGCTCTTCATGAAGCCAACATGTTGTTCTGTTTGTAGTCTTAGTGGGAAGAGATTAAAGGAGAGTCTCTGGTTTGAGGACCTCAGAATTTCAGAGGATGCATACTTTAATTGATCTTTGAAAACTGATTGTAAAGGTTCATTAAGCTTTGCTTTAAATATACTATATTATTATACTAGTAATGAACTTTTTGTTTAGCCAAACCACAAAAAAGTGATTCGACTTTAAACCGATTTGTTAGAGCTCTTGTTGCAAAGCTATTAAACCAGAGGAAATGGTTTGACCATCAATAAAGCTAAAAGCAGGTTTAGAGGGTGTTTTACACTAAAAAGACTAACTCTGAAACAACTTCTCACAGCGGAGGGGACATGCTGCACTGGTAACATGAGGAGGAACGATTACAGCAAGCATGAACTCTGTGAGCCAGCATGCAGTAAGACAGACTTCAAAAACTCTGAACTTAAAAGCTGCAGCTGAATATGTGCCCTATGGAATAAGGAGCTGAGTAAGGCTTACTTCAAGACAGTCAGCCTGAATCAAATCGACACTGGTTAGGTTACTCCATGTGCTTCTTCTTTAGCCACTCCTTTGGTGCCTGAGCAAAATGTTTTGGGTCATTGCCATGCTGGAAGCTCCATGATCCATCTTCAGTGTCTCGTCCATGATTTTAAGGGGTAAATGGACTGATTCTTATATAGCGCTTTTCTACTCCCCCTGAGCACTCAAAGCTATAACATGCACATTCACCCAATCACACCCATTCACACAAGCACATCCTTCAATGTTTACTATCTAACATTCACACTCATTCATACTCCGATGGATGTATCGAAGAGAACTTGGGGTTAGTATCTTGCCCGAGGATGCTTGGCATGCCGGGGATCGGCAGGGATCGAAGCACTAACCTTCCGATCAGTAGATGATCTGCTCTACCTCCCGAGCTACAGCCACCCCTTAATACCGTGAAGTCATCCTGTACCCTTAACAGAAAAACAACCCTAAAGCATAATGTTTCCACCTCCATGCTTGACTGTGAGGATGATGTTCTTTGGGTCATCCTCAGCATTTCTCTTCCTCCAAACATGGCGAGTCGAGCTTAATTTTGGTTCTTCTTTGACCACGACACTTTCTCCTAAGCCTTCTCCAACTCATTTAGATGTTTACTGTCAAACCTAAGATGGGGGGGCTGCAAAATTTGAGTCCATTATAATGTAATGTGTTACCAGTGCAGTTCTTGGTTACTGTGGTTGTCTTCAGATCATTAACAAGCTCCTCTTGTGTAGCTTTGGGCTGATCCACCACCTGTTTTATGAGCCTCCTCAACCCTTGAGACTTGATGGAGCTGGATGGAGATGCACAGAGCTCCAGACTGAAGGCGACTGAAGTTCATTTCCTCTGTTTCCAAATAACTGAACCAAAAGTTGTCACCTTCTCACCAAGCTTCCTGTTTGCCTTTTGATGGTTTTGTAGGGATCAAATACTTATTTCTCTTAAACACTGTAA